AGATGGTTTAAGTGTCTTCGCACTGAAGTATCTCCTGAAACAAACTCCTAAAATCAGATTACATACCATTAGAAGTCATGAGGTACTGCTGCCCTCTCTTGAATTTTCTCTGCATTGGGGAACACCAGTACAGTCGCATATCACAGGCGACTGTCTTCTAAATTATAAAATTCCCCAGAGCCGCACTGATGAGTTTACAATCTTTGATTACTTTAGCATTGTAGTATAAATTTATTCCTACTGCTGTTGAGCCTGTTACTGTGTGGTCGATTTCTGTGTATCCCATCTTTTTCATTTTCACTTATTTAAGTTCCAGGGTTTCCTTTTAAGGTCAAAGCAGTTAATTTATTGGTAAGTCTGTGACTCTGCAGTAGCACTTTTAAGTCACCATTCAGCATGATGCTGAAATTCCCATTGGGCTCATAGTCATCCCCTGTTTTACTAGTACTGCTACCTTCTGTAAGTCCTCACTAACTATGCTCCTAAATTCTTACCATCCTAGGGCAGAAGGGAAAAATCTCTAGGCATGTGGGTTTTGTTTGTTTTAATGAAATATTAGGCAACAGAATAAAAAAAAATATATATATTAGAAAAACTGATCATGTCCAACTGAAAGAATTCAAGAATCCTTTTGCATCTCTAAAACACCAGCATGCTCTCTCTCGCAGATGTACAAATCCTGCATGGCTCTGTTCTTTTATTTGCTTTCACCACTAGAAAAATAGTTTTACTCAGTACAGTGAAAACAAAGACCTGATCATCAGTGGTTTGCAGCAATACAGAATAGCCTGATCCCCCAGCTTTTGTTTTTGCCATTGGAAATTATTACACTGCAAGATAGGCTAACTTTTCTTGGAACTGCTTGTTTTTCCATAAGCTTTATTTCAAACTGGAATTCAAATTATGTTCCATGCATTACTATTTCTTACATTATTCCTCTGAATTTTTAACAGCCTTATTTGAGTCGACCTGTGAACTTTCCCATCCCCCCAAATCCACACTTATGGTCTGCCAGTCCACAAATCAGCTTTCCAGTAAATGTTTAATCAGTTTATGGCAGAAGAGTCTTTTTATGTATGTTTCCAAAAAAGGTAGACTTATGAAAGCAGTCAGGTGGTCTGTGCATGTGTGTACCTCTAACCATTTGACTATCTGGTATTAAATCAGATACCTGTTTGGTATCTGATTTTAAACATCCTGTTGACCACCATCCCCCTTCTCCAGAAGTGTAATGAAAATAGACAGCTGTATAGATGTCCTAATACAGCAGGCTTGCCTACTGACAGAAGAAAAAATCTACAAGCCTTAGTAGACACATGAGAATCCACTCAGGAATGAAAGAGCAGAAATAACCAAACTGCAAGAAACTGTTCGGTCAGCTTGCACGATACAAGACCCTGAAGAATTTTGCAGCAAAACACAGATCCCGAGCTTTGCCATTTCTGCAGCTTGTGGATTGCAGGGTGGCTGGGGACATTAAAAGATATGTTTGGGAGGAAAGTCTCATCTTTTCACATTCTTTGCAGGGTCACTAGTTGATGTTTAGTTAGTTGATGTCTTTAATGTTGATGTTTAAATAAGTCAGATGGAATAGGCTCTAAAGGCACCTATTTTGCCTTATTAGCTGTGAAAGCAGCTAGCTCAGTTGCAGGTATCTGTGCTGCAAACACCTGTGTGTGCATGCAGTTTGCTGCATCCTGCTTCTATGATCTATCTGTAAGGGGACAGGAATAAGACCTTTTTGGAGGGAGGATTTCATCTGTCACTACACCTCACTCAAACTCACTGATGTCAGCTATTTAGGAGCCCTGGGTTTGTCCCCTGCCACCACTGAGAGACAAGGCTGGCTCCAAGTCACAGTGGTGGAGGCAGACCCAGCAGCTGTTACCGTGACTGTGCCAGTGCACAACCAGTGTTGTCATGCAGGGAAAATGTGTTCAGTAGAGAAAAAGCACCTGGACACCCCTACCAGGGCTATCAGCCTCCCTGTGTGAACCTCTTCTGATTTCTTAAAAGGTGTGGCTCTAGCTATTTATTTTTGTACGAAGACCTGTGCACTAACAGGTAAGCGTCAGAAGTGTGTTTCAGTAATTAGCCCAGCTTGCTGCTAAATTAGATGTATCAATCAAGTGGTTCAAAAAAGATTTTGTAGTACTAAATGTGGCTTGCCACCACCGTCCTTGCTGCTGTTGCAGTGTGAATGGGCTGGGCTGGGTTGTCACTGCATTGTAAACTCTGCTCCTTTCTGTACTTGCAGGATTTCATACTCCCACCTTCGGGGACACCGAGAAGAGCAGCATGGAGCAGGAGCACTTCTCCTGGCCTCAGTAAGCACAAGATGTCCATCTCAGGTGGCAGGCACTGGCAGAGCAAGGCTGACCCTTTCAGTGTGGTGGCTGTCTCCTTGGTGAGCCAACTGTCTGACCAGCGGAAGATGAGCGAGTCACCTCTCAGCTGGTTCAGAGGGGTGTATTTACCCGCTGCGCTGCACCCTTTAAACAAGACGTTAGTCATGGGTGGCAAGTGGAAGGATGTGGATAGCACTCAGGAAAAGCGCAGGTCCTTCCTGCATGGCTTCTGTAAGAAATACAACAGCAGAAAGAAGCTGCAAACCCACCTTGTGCACCTGGTGTCAAGAATTTATGTGGAGGACAGGCATAAGGTCCTATACTGCGAAGTGCCGAAAGCAGGCTGCTCCAATTGGAAAAGGGTCCTCATGGTGCTCAATGGACTCGCTGCTTCAGCACACAACATTTCACATGATGACGTGCACTATGGAAAGCATCTAAGGAAACTGGACAGTTATGACCTAAAAGGGATATACACACGTTTGAACACGTACACCAAGACTATATTTGTACGTGATCCTATGGAAAGACTGGTATCTGCCTTCAGGGATAAATTTGAACACCCAAACAGCTATTACCATCCAGTATTTGGGAAGGAAATAATTAAGAAGTATAGACAAAATGCAAATGAAGAGGCATTGAAAACAGGATCGGGAGTTAAGTTCAAGGAGTTTATCCAATATCTGTTAGATTCCCATCGCCCAGTAGGAATGGACATTCATTGGGAGCAAGTCAGTAAGCTCTGCTATCCCTGCCTCATCAACTATGATTTTATAGGAAAGTTTGAAACCCTGGAAGAAGACGCCAACTACTTTTTGCAGCTGGTAGGTGCTCCAGCCGAGCTGAAGTTTCCTAAATTCAAAGACAGACATTCCTCTGACGAGAGAACAAGTGCAGAAGTAGTGAGGCAATACTTAAAAGAATTGTCTAAGGAGGAGAGACAGCTGACCTATGACTTCTATTACTTGGATTACTTAATGTTCAATTATACATCACCAATTGTATAGCACCAGAATAGCTTCAGGCTTCTATTAGTTATTTATCATTTTGAGATTCAAAACAACTACTTCGATATTAGCTCTGAAAGGAAACAAAGTTACTGCTAAGTGGAGTTTTCTTGACTTAGTGAAGATTTTATAAACCAGAATGACATCAATTGGCATTAAATTATAGGAGAATGCACAAAAAAAGACCTGTAAACAGCATAAATTGCACTAAAATAGCTGAAAAAGCTGTTTTTACCATTATGGATTATACTGTGGAAGCAGTAGCACAGCCAGCTGTTGCATTAGCTTACCTAATGTTCTTTCAATGGTTTAAGAAAAAAGCATTCAGAGTAGCATGATTATTTTCTGGTCTATCTGCTTTGGAAATTGTTTTTGAAACTATTTTTGAATGTATGTTTTACTTTCTGTTACTTATTAATAAAGAAGCACTGGCTAATTTTCTAAAATCTTCGCACCATTCTCAGTTGCAACACTTGCTTGTTTGATTACCATTAGACTGTAGCAGCTTTTAGACCTGATGGTTTTTCATTGAAGGATGCTTTTGAATACAAATGCATGAAACTGCAAGTAGCACAGCAGCCCAAATGTTGAGACAGGTATATTTGGGTAAGCCTGTGATCTGAAGTCCTGGTCCATTTCCCCATTTTGACTGACGCACTAGAGTTGACAAACGTAGCCCTCCTTTCAGAGGACTATCACATACATTAAAATTAACATTTTAATTTGCAGTGGAGTCAACCACATGATGCATACTGCAGTCCCAATATTCAAGATAGTCTTCAACTGTGGAAATAAGGCAAAATCCCTGTTAGCTATGGGATGTTATAAGGTCTGTACTGAGGAGCAACTTCATTGTTGAACTGCTGTGACCACTTTTGGTCTGCCAGTGTCTGATCATCAGTTCAGCTCCCAGCAATTTGTTGCACAGAAGGTGTGTATGCCCATTGCCTCCAAAACCCATGGACTGTTTTTTTCCCCAGATCTTTCTGAAGTCACTGGTGTTTTGCTGCCCTTCCTGCCTCATCAGCACCTAGCAAACCCCAGGGGTGGGATGGATGCTGCAGCATTATGCGGTGGGATGGATATTGGTGATCAGTCCTAGAGGCAGTTGTGTCTGGAGTCCAACAGTCCTGGTTATAAAAGGAAAGGTACCTTCTCTCCACCTCTTCCCTCTCCGCCCTCACGCATTGTCTAAGCACTGTATGTGGTTGTTCCTGCAACCGGCAGTTGCACATGGAATTGTAGGATGGGTGGCCAGAATGTCCCAGGAGGAGGAGAAATATCTGCAAAATGGATAGAGAGAAATCCTTCTGCCCTTCCAAAATAAAGATGATACCTATTCTTTGCTTTCTGGAGTGGTTTGGGGCATCTTACTCCAGCGTCTTGATATAGCAAGTTGTAGAATAAGGAAACAGTCTGGCGAGAAACTGATGCAAGTAAAATGTCCTTCTTCTCTGTTCCCAACCAGTGCTCACAACTAGTGCTATTGCTGTCTTTTCTCTCATCTCAGGCAGACGTATGGCTTCAGTCCTTCCACAGGAGTAACTGTAGGTCCCTTCTGAAAGGAGAGATCATTTCCTATGTACCCTCACTGCTTGTTTCTCCCTCAGTTTTCTCCTTAGAAGAGGAAAATGCCACCTCCAGCCTCCATGGTGTCAGTGTGTAACTGAGCAGGCTCTGCGTGTCTCCTTGCAGCAGGACCAGGTGCTCCAAGGGGGAAAGGTCAAAGCCCACTAGGCAGCCCAAGTTGGAAGTGGTGCTGTATGTGACCAGCAGCACCTGTAGCCGAAGCCGGCCTGTTCCCTGGGGCAATGGGGCAAAGAGGAGGAGAAGGAAAAAAGCCACAAGCCATCATCACCATGAGGTGTGGAGAGGTGCAGGTGTTCAGCACCAAGAAGGAGGTACAGGGATGCCTTGGATGTGTAAACACGCACACTGTTACTTGTGTGAGCTATTGCTGTGCCTAGATGGACCCATAGGTGTTACCACCAGAAGTGTTTGGGATGGGATATCTGACCATTGAACTGCACCGATGCATGCCCTTTCCTCAGGAGAGCAAGTCCCTAAATTTTCCTCTTTACACTGGTGTCTGCCTCCCACCTTCTCTGGCAGCAACCCCTCCTGGTTTTCCTGCAGGCTCCATCCCAGAGCATGGAGCCACGGCACTGAGCTGCTGTGCCCATAGCACCATGGCTGCCGTGGGGAGGCAGCTGTCCCATGGCCAAGGGCTCGGACCCCCAGGGCACCATGCTGGAGAGGTGGTTCTTTGCAGCCGCTGCCATGCTGGGCAGCAGTACACCACTTCTCCAGTGGTGTGCACCATGCCAGTTACTGACTGTTATTGAGCACCCATGTACCTTTAGCCACCATGCTGGGGTTTTTTTTTAATAATTCAGCCATGCACTTTCATGACTGTTGCTCTCGGGTAGGACTATGCATTAGGACTTTAAAGAGCAGCTCCTGCCACAGTTTTGATTTTATGTCATCCAGCCTCCTAACTCGTGTGAAAAATGCCTTAGATTTCACTTGGATTTGATCCTGGCGTAAAAAGCATCTTTTCCACTGATACAGCAGAGCTCTCTAGATCCTCTGCTCTTCTAAGTATTCATTCCTACCTCAAAACTGAATGAATCTCCCTTACCTTGTAGGGAGTTGTTCCAGGCCATTGAAGATGACAAATAAAAAATAAATGCACCTTTTGATGTCTATATATTTGCTTTGTATTGTCTGTTGTGGATGTGTGTTAATTAATTGTTAATTTACAGGCAAAAATTGCTTAGGTACCAATATTTTCCAAAAAACATAGGAAGGGGAAGAGGTTTAACATGCTAATAAATGGAGGACAGTTTATGTATGAGTTTCATATGAATTCTTTAATTCAGAGACCTAAGCAGTAGTAAATTGCAAAGTCTGCAAAGAGCTTAAGTTTCACCTTGAGCTTGTTTTAGTGACAAACTTTCAGCCCATCTGATCAGGGAATGAAAGGGATTTGGTGGCGGTGATGTAATTGTATTGAAAAAGCTGTACAGTCTCATAAGATTTAATCTACTAACTGGTCTTAGATAAAACTATTTTTTGAGTCAAAGCGGGGGTGAAATAAGTTATTAGCAAATGTTTGGCTTCTGCAAATGAGCGGGAAAATGACATTGATTTGCATGCATCTGTGGACATAGACATTAGGCCCCTAGATTGTCATCTTGAAAATCTGGTATGGTTTGCATTTGTGATTTAAAAGGGAAGGACACTACTTAAGGCCTTTAAAGTGAGTATGTGCACAGAAGCATAATTGTTTTAGCTGCACTATTGTTCTATGGCTCTAGTGAAAGTAATTTAACTTCTTTGTATGCGCAACTTCAAATTCCATAGCCCCTAACTGCACTTAAAAATTCATTTTTTTTTAAATCTAACCCAGACTTTTGTAAAGAAGAGCCTCTCCATAGTCATCTTCAGTGACCTAAGGGATTCAGATGATCTCAGTAGCAGAATCTAGATTGTACTTTGCCTCATTAACCACATTTTGAAAATCACCAGCCTGCTTTGCCAGGAATTAAGTTACATGATTTAAAATTAACATAAGAGTTTAGCATAATTGAAGTGGGACTGTGATATCTGACTTATGGGATTATAAGAGATAAAGGCATAATTTGCAGCCTAAAAGATAACCTCTATTTTTAAAAGTAAATTTTAAAAGGTCAGAGTATGAGGTTGGGTTGTAACTTGGCTTATATTTTGGAAGACTGCTAGGCAAAAACAAAAACTGAAGGTCATCTGCTATAACTAGTATAAAATCCCACCTCCATAACTGTGCACAGATGTTTGTTTTACTCAGAAAATGTATGCAGAAGGGGAATGAAAATACACTCCACAACATTCGGTGCAATTACGCTTATACTGAAGATCAGCTGCAGCATGCAGAGCCTCTTTTGAAGGGCTTCATTACAGTAAATGCTTTTTAGTTATGAACATTTCTTCATTTGAAGATCTCTAAGCACTCCTCTAATGCACATCAGTTGTCAGGGCAAGTCAAATGTGCTGTAAAGGCACTACAGTGAGTCCAAGGAAGTGCTAAGCAGGAGGAGAGTTCTCCCTTGGCTCATTTGTCTCTTCCAAAAACCAGAGAGCCAGGCTTCCCTCCTGAAACAAAAACTTGATTTTTGGAAAATAATGTTCCATATTTGCCTTTCTTCTAAAAGGAATCAGCATTAAATAAGATTAAATTATTTTATTTAAAGTAAAAAATATTAATACATTAAATAAAAAAAAAATAAAAAATAAACTGCATAGGTGTGCATTCTCAAATTCTGATGTATTTGCCCACATAAGGCAGTTTCTTCTTTCCACATAGGATTTGGCTTGCAAAGCTCAGACACAGCCACTACACCCATCTGTTCTAAAACTTCTGGTAAACTGTTGCTTGCTGGAAGTCAGAGGTGTGCAGCCACAATGCAGTCAAACACGGCACATCCTCTTGAAACATCCTCTGGTGTAACTCCCTCAAAAGGCCAAACTTATCGGAGCTACTCGTGCCTCGGGCTGTTCTATCTTGGTGATATGTCATTGGAGATCACCACTTTAATTTTAAAGGTAGTTTAAATTTAAATGAAAATTACAATATGACACTTTGCAGAAGTCTGAGAGGAAAATATTTTAATAGAGCTTTGTATTGTGTGTGTAGGTTATATATAAAAGTCAGTTGTATGTGCCTTCAGGCTAACAATACATCAGATAAATATTTTTAACTGTAATGTTAATGCCAGTTTATAAGCTGTATAACCTGCTGTGATGCTTTCAGAACTAAATGGATTTGGCCTCAGAACCTAATGTCCGAAATCAGACCATAAATTATTACACTTCATAAAAAGTACAGATGTACTTGTCCTGTATCAACCAGTTCATTTACAGTTCAGAGGGCAGGAACACAGGGAACTGGGGGGTCCATAACCCCAGATACCTGGGATTGATTTGCCTTCTGAAATGTGTATATGTGAGGGGGTGAAGGAAATAGTCATATTATTTAGTTTAATGAGAATGTCTTAGATTAAAT